GCCGAGATAACCTCGGCACAACTACCATGACACGTGGCACCTCGGCTTACACGTCGGCATCACCATGCCACGTGTTGGTATTCAGAAAATACATCCCCACATATTTTTTATTATCTTAACTCAAATAGTAGACAAAAAATTCATTATCTTCAATTAAAAACAAAAATAAAACATATATTATCCTTAAATTCTTATTTCACATATTTTTTAATAAGTTAAATGCAGTTACATGAGAGATTAAACAAATGTCATGTCATCTATTAGTGAAAATAATATTAAAATGTGCTCATAATTTTTCATTAAACGAATTATTTGTATAAATTTCGTGTTTGTGTAGGTTTGACTCTGTCCTTGGTGTTATCAGGTAGTGTCATTTATAGACTTGTGTCAAAAAAATTACCAATTCCAACCCACTGATGCTGTCGTTTGCACACACCAAAATATTTTATTTAAAACCAAGTAAAAATGACTGTTTCGTAGAATAGCGGTTAAGACTAGGTGTCGATCCATAGGACTAATGATGAATAATTTAATTTAAAAATGGGATTTTTATTGATAAGTCCAATTTAGAAGTGTTTTAACCCAAGAAGTCCATGAAGGAATTATTTAACCCATTTAGTCCCATGTATGTATAGTTTTATTCCATAAAGTCCATTTTCTTGATTTACACTATTTTCTTGGACACTTATGCCCTTATATTTAATTTTGATACCTTTATAAATATTTTTTGAACGATTAGCAATTTAATGATGTGAACATTCATATTTTAAAATTCACATTGGTAGGAATGTAAAATTGGCCCGTGGGCGGCCCGAAACCCGCCTGCGAGTCAGGGCGGGCCCGGCCCGTTGACAATGTGAATATTCACATTGACATATTAATATTCACATTAATAGGAGTGTAAAATTGGCTCGTGTCCCGTGGCGATGCGAAACTCGCTCGCGGCCCATGGGCGGCCCGGGCGCGGGCTCGGTCCGACCCATTGACAATGTGAATATTCACATTGCCATGTTAATATTCACATTGATAAGAGTATAAAATTGGCCCGTGGCCCATGGGCTGCCAAAAGCCCGCCTGTAGCCCGGGGAGGGCCCGACCTGGCCCATTGATAATGTGAATATTTACATTGACATGTTAACATTCACATTGATAGGAGTGTAAAATTAGCCCACGTCTCGTGGCTGCCCGAAACTCGCCCACGGTCCATGGGCGGCCCGGGGCGGGCCCGGCCCGGCCTGTTGACAATGTGAATATTCACATTGACATGTTAACACTCACATTGATAAGAGTATAAAATTAGCTAGCAGCCCAGGGCGGGCCCGACCCGGCCCGGCCCGTTGACAATGTGAATATTTACATTAATAGGAGTGTAAAATTGGCTCCCGTCCCGTGGCGGCGCGAAACCCGCTCGCGGCCCATGGGCGGCCCGGGGCGGGCCCGGTCCGGCCCGTTGACAATGTGAATATTCACATTGACATGTTAACATTCACATTGATAAGAGTATAAAATTGGCCTGCGGCCCATGGGCGGCCAAAAGCCCACCCGCGGCCCGTTGACAATGTGAATATTCACATTGACATGTTAACATTCACATTGACAAGAGTGTAAAATTGGCCTGCAGCCCGTGGGCAGCCCGAAGCCCGACCGAAGCCCGAGGCGGGCTTGGCCCGACTCGTGAGAATGTGAATATTCACATTGACATGTTAACATTCACATTGATAGGAGAGTAAAATTAGCCCGTAGCCTGTGGCCGGCTTGAAACCTGCCCGCGGCTCGTGGGCTGCCCTGGGCGGGCTCGGCCCGGCATGTTGACAATGTGAATATTCACATTGACATGTTAACATTCACATTGATAAGAGTGTAAAATTGGCCCGTGACCTGTGGGCAGCCCGAAGCCCGACCTCGGGCCGGGGCGGGTCCGGCTCGTTGGCAATGTGAATATTCACATTGATATGTTAACATTCACATTAATAGGAGTGTAAAATTGGCCCGCAGCCCGTGGGCGGCCCAAAGCTAGATCGCAGCCCGATGCGAGCTTGGCCCGACCCGTGACAATGTGAATATTCACATTGACATGTTAACATTAACATTGATAGGAGTTTAAAATTTGTCCGTTGCCCGAAGCTCGCCCGCGGCCCGGGGTAGGCCCGAACCCAAACCCGGACCGCCCCGGGCTACCCATGGGACGCGAGTCAATTTTACACTCTTATCAATGTGAATGTTAACATGTCAATGTGAATATTGACATTGCCAATAGGTCGGGCCGGGCCCGCCTCGTGTAGCCCACGGACCGTGAGCGGGTTTCGGGCAGCCACGGGGCACGGGTTAATGTTATACTCTTATCAATGTGAATGTTAACATGTCAATGCGAATATTCACGTTGTCAACGGACCGGGGCCGGGCTTCGGGTTGCCCACGGGTCATGGGCCAATTTTACACTGTTATCAATGTTAATGTTAATATGTCAATGTGAATATTCATATTGTCAACGGGCCGGGCTGGGCCCACCCTGGGCAGCGGGTGGGCTTCGGGCCGGCCACGGGCTAATTTTACACTCCTATCAATGTGAATGTTAATATGTCAATGTGAATATTCACATTGTCAACGGGCCGGGCCGGGCTCTCCCCGGACCGCCCACGGGCTTCGGGCCGTCCATGGGATGCGAGTCAATTTTACACTCTTATCAATGTGAATGTTAATATGTCAATGTGAATATTCACATTGGCAACAGGCCGGGCCGGGCCCGCCCCGGGCCGCCCACGGGCTGTGGGTTGGTTTCGGGCAGCCACGGGGCGCGGGCTAATTTTATACTCTTATCAATGTGAATGTTAACATGTCAATGTGAATATTCACATTATCAACGGGTTGGGCCGGGCCCGCCCAGGGCAGCCCACGAGCCGCGGGCAGGTTTCAAGCCGGCCACAGGCTACGGGCTAATTTTACTCTCCTATCAATGTGAATGTTAACATGTCAATGTGAATATTCACATTGTCAACGGGCCGGACCCGGCCCAGCCCGGCCCGGGCTCGAGCTTCGGGCTGCCCATGGGTCACGGGCTAATTTTACATTCTTATCAATGTTAATGTTAATATGTCGATTTGAATATTCACATTATGAATGGGCCGGCTCGGGCCCGCCCTGGGCGGCGGGCTAGCTTCGGGCCGCCCACGGGCCGTGGGCCAATTTTACACTCCTATCAATGTGAATGTTAACTTGTCAATGTGAATATTCATATTATCAACGGGTCGGGTCGGACCTATTTTTTTGGCTCTTGGGCCGGCCCGGCCCGACTCGAATTTTTCCGGGCACCCACGAGGATCGACATGAGCCGGGCCCCTACACATTGACGATATAAACATTTATATTGACGGTGTGAACATTCACATTAAGGGTATTTTGGTAATTATGTCACCCATAGGACTTATTGAAACATAAGAAAATAATGTGAACTAAAGGAACATAAGTAGATGAAAATGGTATTTTGGTCTTCTTATCTCAAATTGGACCTAATGGAATAGTCAAAAAGAATATGGGTTGGATGGAATAAAGCTCTTAGAAAATGGATTTATCAAAAAAGCTCCCTTTAAAAATTTATGTTTGCTTGTGAATGTTTGGAGTGAAAATTAAACTAATTAATTAAACAAAATAAAACAAATATCTTAGAATTTCGAATCTACCCTTACTAACCTTATAATTAGGAGTAATTATACTCAGTCTTTAGAAAATCATTGATTTAGATATTGTGATGTAAGTTGATTTTAAATACATCGTCAAGGGAATTTATATATCAAAACCAGATAGCCACGAATTTTTGCTTAGCATGGATTGTCACCATTAAACTACGCTTTGATGCACGACCTATCTTATTAGGTATGATTCGTCTAACAATTTTAATATACAACAGTGAAAATTATTGTATAACATGATTTGAATAAAATATTTATTATACAAAAAGATCTAGAGTTATATAACTATATCCAAATCAAATCAAAATTAAAAATACTAAATACAACTTATCCTAATTATTTGATCAAAATTTTATTTCTATCCTAAAAGAAAATTACCATACTCTAATATTTATAAACTAAACACTCTCACTCTGGGCCGAAGCCCTCTCCTCTGCCTGGAGCTCTCTACTGAGCTATCTCCCTTCTTCTCCCCCCTTCTTTCTCTTCCGCTTTCTTCTCCTTTTATAGAAGAATTAACCTGCAAATAAAAAAAATCTAATAAATAAATAATATAATAATAAAATATTTTATTATATATATAATTGTTGATTGTTGACGAGGGGGTGTGGGAGGCATGGCCGCCTCTCTTTCTTTCTCTTTTCCTTTCTTTTATTTTCTTTTGGTGCGTCTTTCCTAGGGTGTATAGTAATTTAATGTAACTTTATAATAAAATAATATGTAAAATATTTAAAATCTATTATTTGGACTAATTTATATATAAATATTAAAATATATAAAAAAATACATAAAATTATATAAAATTATTAACTAATACAAATTAATAAGTTAATAAAATGTGTTTTAAAAGATCAAATGTATAATATTTAAGCTCTGATCACTCACTAATTTCGTGTACAATTTAAGTTATAGAACTCGTTTGGGATGCGGGTTTATTTTTTGATTTTTTTAGTTATTTTAGTCTAGAACTAAAAAGTTTCATTTAGAATAAATTTTTTGATTTTTTTAACTTGTATGAGAAAAAAATAAAATGATTCTTATTTAATTAAAATAACTTATTTTATTCCATATAACTATTTTAGTCCAACATGTTATCCCAAACAAAGCCTATCTTGTTCAAAATTTTCATCCTTAATTAGAAGGGTGCAACAATTAGAGATAGATGGGCCAAATAATAGCAATTGGATCCGGACCATAGCCTAGCCCGGAAAGTATACGTAGGCGCTGACGTTAGCAGTCATACTAGTTTTTCCAGCACTCATCATCCATGATTTCATCATATCTTCCTTTCTCATTCTCTATATAAGTTCATTTCTCATCATCACACCATCTCCATGCCACTACTACTGCTCTTTCACAATATCTAGAGAGAGAAAGACAGAGAGAGAGAGAGAGAGAGAGAAAAGGAAATGGAGAAAGTGGGGAGGATGAAGCTGGGATCACAAGGTCTGGAGGTGTCAGCACAGGGACTGGGCTGCATGAGCATGTCCAATGGCTACTACGGTCCTGGCAAACCCGAACCCGACATGATAAAACTCATCCACCACGCCATCCATCACGGTATCACCTTCCTCGACACCTCCGACGTCTATGGCCCTTATGCCAATGAAGTCCTTCTCGGCAAGGTCTGCTTATTTCACCCTGTTTGATGCAGCTTATTAAATTGTTTACATCTCTTTCTTTTTTCGTTTCTTCTTTTTCTTTTTCTTTTTTTGTTTTTGTTTTTGTTTTTTTCTTTTTCTTTGTATAGTTCTTGCTGTAATTTATGTTCACAATTTATGATGTAAAAATAACTTTCATATATATATATCTCCACACAAACATTCAAAATTTAGGGTGACAATTTTTTTTTTTTTTTTTTAAGACCTGAGTAGAAAATTGACATATGTCAATATGGCATAGAAACTTCTCACCCGATATGTCAAATTTATTATTCTATTATTTTTAAAAATGAAATTGTTTTATGGGTAGACTTTAAATTAGGTAGTAACCTGGATTATGTCAAATTTGACATGTTGAGTTTATGTCATTTTTTATGTCAAAATTGAACTGTTATTGTATCATGTAGAATTTGACACTTTGATTGGAACTGCTCAAAGCTTTTCTCAATTTTTTTTTCATATGGATGCAGGCTATGAAGGGAGGAATGAGAGAGAGAGTTGAATTATGTACCAAGTTTGGTGTTAGTTTAGTAAGTGGGAATATAGAAGTACATGGGGATCCAGCATATGTGAGGGCAGCCTGCGAGGCCAGCCTAAGGAGGCTGGACACCAATTGCATTGATCTTTATTACCAGCATCGTATTGACACCTCTGTCCCCATCGAAATCACGGTTTGTTGCCCCCTCTCCATTCTTGTCCCCTTCATATTTTTTATTTTATTTTTAAATGTTATAAATCTTTATTATAAGTGTTATGCAATTTTCCCTTAGAGTAATGATAATTTGCAATTTTTAAAGTGAAGTTGTAACAATTTGTGATATAATTACTTATTTTTTTTAGTGTTTCGCTTTTTTTCATTGAAATATTATTTGCCAATAATAGACTTTAAATTAGGTAGTAACCTGGATTATGTCAAATTTATTATTCTATTATTTTTAAATTCCTAGATATCCTAACTTGATTGTCTTTAAATTTCAAGAAATGGTTCAAAAATATATATATATATATATAATTTTTTTTTGAGGGGGGGAGGGGAACCAATGTTCCTAACACAATTGAAGTTGATAGGTATTACCTTTTACACTACAACAACTAGTTAATTTTGTCTCTGGTGGTTCCGATTTAACAAGTTGTAGAAATAATCTCTCCCAAAATTAAGTAAAGTTGTGTAAATATCTTATCGTTTTTAGACCCGACTTTGGCAAAAGTCTTATGTAGCAGGGTAGGTCTGGGTCACCCTTTTAACAACCAACTGATTGCTTTAAAAGCTGAATTTGCTCTGTAGAGCATTAGTGTGCATTCGGTAATCCTTTTGTGACATTTTTGTAGATGGGAGAACTCAAGAAACTGGTTGAAAAAGGTAAAATAAAGTATGTAGGTCTCTCAGAGGCCTCGGCTTCTACAATTAGAAGGGCTCATGCTGTTCATCCCATAACAGCAGTGCAGTTGGAGTGGTCCTTGTGGACAAGAGATGTAGAGGAAGAAATCATTCCTACTTGCAGGTGAGGGGTAGAGGCACTATTGTTTTGTTAACTAGTCAATTTTGCAAGCAATAAGCAAGAATCCAATGTTTTCTAATCTTTGCCATTGTTATTTTGATATAATCAGAGAACTAGGAATTGGGATTGTTGCGTACAGTCCTCTGGGTAGGGGCTTCTTTTCTTCAGGTGCAAAGATGGCCGAGAACTTGACTGAGAATGATGCCCGAAAGGTTTGCGCGCATCATACTTGCATTTTTCTATGTCCACAATGAATTTATGTTTGTAGCATTATGATTAAAAACTATTGCTTAATATCATGTTTCATGTTTTGATCATGTGGTTAAATCAAAACTAAATAATAATAAAAAAACTCATTAGAAGCATAATCTATAACAATAATATCACTACAACTCTTCTATAATTCTGTTGATTATCAAAAATCTAAAAAAAAAAAAAATTAAATAAGAAGGATAGAGTTTTAAAAATTTTGTACCTATGATTCGTAATTTTTTAGAAGATAAAAGCTATAAAAAAAAATACCAAAAAAATAAAGTGTACAACATAGATTTGAGCCACATCAGAGTTTAGGATGTGGTCGGCTGACTTCTATGAAGCATGGGTATTTCTAAAAACTTGTCGTATCCATACCAGGTACTTACTGACGTATGGCATCTCGTATGGTACTTCTGCATACGTACCGAGTATACGAAACACGTACTCAAATTTTTTTCTTCTTAATTTTTGACATATCTAGACGTACCTAGTATATATCCAAATCATAGTTGAAACAATATTTTCTTCTACTATAGAGATAAAACTCCTTTCACTAGACTTCTTTTTTATTTTTAGTTTTATACTTAACATGATTTTAAAATTAAACTATGGTTTGTAAGTTATTTAATATATTGACATTTAATATTGATTTATATCTTTACATTTGGCATTAAATGTTAATTATAGGCTGGATCTTAACAAATTAAACAATTTGACTAATTTTTCCATTACTCTAAATTAAAAATAAATATTTTTTACAAGCGTACCAAGTTGTATTTTACTTTTTTTTTTGTTGAATTTTATCATATCAACGTACCTGTATCATACCAATACCAGTACTCGTGCTTCATCCTTCTAGCATGGCTCTCTCTAATTTGTAGGCCATTTAGGCTTCCTTTATTCAATACTAGTTGTGGGTTATGCATATACAAATATATGTAATTTAACAACGGAGAAAATGAATAAAAACCGTGTATAAAATTTTGAATATATAAATCAGTTTATGCTAAGATCTTCCTATTGACAAGTTATCAAATTGTTAAGGGCATTTTCGTAAAAGACAAAACGTGACAAAAGAACACTCATTCACACCAAGTCAATTATTTACTTTATACAGTAGACTAGATACCTTTTCTTTCTTGTTGGCCAAAAAAAAGAAAGATAAAAGGTCACACCAAAATAAATTTGTGCTACACATCTTATTTTTTTATCCTTTGTTATGGTGATTTTGCAATGGTGATGTTGAATATGTATTTTCTTTGATTTGTGTAGAATCTACCAAGGTTTCAACCAGAGAATCTGAAACATAACAAAAACATATTCGAACAAGTTAACGAAATGTCAGAAAGAAAAGGTTGCACCCCATCACAACTAGCATTAGCATGGGTCCATCACCAAGGAAATGATGTGTGTCCGATACCTGGCACCACAAAGATTGAAAACTTCAACAACAACATTGGAGCTTTGTCTGTAAAACTATCAGTAGAAGACATCGCTCAACTCGAATCCATTGCTTCAGCGAATGTGGTAAAGGGTGATCGATATATGTCTGCCTCTACGAATTTTGCTTGGAACTATACAGACACTCCACCTTTGTCTTCATGGAAAGCTTAGTAATAAATTCAAGCAGCCACATACATGGCTTCCTTGTTTGTTCCTCAAATACTTTCTCTTTATGTCCTTTGGAGAGTTTTCTCAAATTCTTGTTTAGAATATATGTGTGTTTTGTCTAAAAGCCAGTATGTTGACTTAGGCTTCTTGAAAGTTTTGAATCATCATATGTTTTGGTTCAATAATTATGTTTGATTTAATGATAATAATAATTTTATAATTAATTACTTGTCTGATTAATTTGGCCACAGAGACTCTTGAGTGCAATTTTGTTGTTTGAGTTGTTAGGTAATCGGGGGAGCTCATAAGCACACAATAATACCGGCCCAATCTAACACGAACAAACTCTAGAGTCTAGAGACGCCACATCAAGGTTCAACATACATTATTTGAAACTCATATACACTTAAAAGCTTAAGCCTATCAGTGGAGAGCTCATCTAATGTATATTATGACTTATTTTTTTTACTTTTTATCCAATGTGAGAATCTACCTTCACACATGCTCCAACAACCTTCACCGTATGTGTGAACCATACATCCCCCTCGAATCTTGATCTATCTTCCGCAAATTCGTTATAGATCCTACGCACTACACCTTAATCTTGATCTATAACTCTCCAACATCGAGTTCAACTTAGGCCACCCACATACACTCCATCGTGAGTCACCATATTCCATTGAGAGTCACCTTGTCACGGTCTAACCTCTACGTGTACCAGGAATTTTGCTTCATCAAGAGTCACCATGGAATCGATGCTCCAGGAGAATTCGCCCATAGATCGTTTACTATTAGCTCTGATACCAATTGTTAAGGAATCAGAGAGCCCATAAGGGTACTGGCCCAATTCAGCAAGGAGAAACTCTAGAGTCTAGAGACGCCACATCAAGGCCCAATATACATTATTTGAAACTCATACCCACTTAAAAGTTTAAGCCTATAAGTGGTGAGCCCATCTAATGTATATTACGACTCATCTTTTTTACTCTTTATCCGATGTAGGACTCTACCTTCACACTTGTTCCAACGTGATATACAAAAAAGTAAATAAAACATTTTTCGAGTAAACCATTTTTAGTCACAAGGATGAAAAAAAATTATGTTTAAAAAATTGGTAAATTATTTATTTATTTTTTCTCATTTAAGTAGACACTACTTGACATATTTAAAAGACCCAAAATTGAATGCTAGAGAGAGGGAGAGAGACAGTGAAGCACTTGAACGTTGGTTCGTTTGCTTTGATCTGGCAAGTCACCAACAATTGTTTATTGACTCTTCGATCTGGCAAGAGAGGGAGAGAGATATTGAAGCACTTGAATGCAATTTTGGAGATGTTGTGTGTTAAGGCACATTAGCTTGTTATGACCCTCTATAGGGGCCGATGTTGGGACTATTTTGATTATCCGAACCGTTTATATTATATGATTCGTCGAGTAGATCATTTATAAAAGAATGAGATTAATTAAACATTTGTAGCCACATAACAATATCACATTAAAAAAAAAAAAAACAAACAAACAAAACAAATGGCAAACATGATTTTGATAATAGACTATTTGTTTTTTAGTTCCTGATCATATGGTTACAAATGTTCAATTAACTTTATTTTTTTCATTGGCACTCTACTTGACGAATTCTATGAACATTTCAAATTATTGAAACAAGCTTAGTATCGACTCCCATGAAGGGTCACAATAAACGGTTGTGACTTAAGGCACAACAACAACCCAAGTCTCTTGAACAGTGCTTTATCTATTTCGATCAGGTGAGTCACCAGCGACTCAAGTGTTCTCGGTTTCATTGCATTTTATGTTTCTCTATCTCACTTTATTTTATTTTATTTTGTTTGAAGCAAATATCATGAGGTTTTTTAATATGATATTCCCATGGTATATTTCTCCTTAGATTTGAACATTTTCTCAGGTATTTGAGTTTAGTTCTTTCATGGTTGTTGTTTTTATTGCATTCAATTCCTATCTTATTGTATTCTTTTGTTTTGTTTTTTTTAATTTTAATTTTAATTTTATGGTGTTATCAATATTTGGTTCATTGTTAAAAATTTTGTTCTAAAAAATATTTTTAATGCCAACCAAACACTGGAAAATCAAAAGAAAAAATTATTTTTGTGCAAAATCATTTTACATCAAAAAAATTTCAAGTGTAAAATGTTTTAAATCTAAACAAATAAAGCATTAGCATCCTAAATGAATGTTATAGAAAGAGTACACTGCCAACATATCGAGAGTGGTATTTTGAGGTTATTGTATTGAATTGGCATACATTTAGCTCCAAAAAGAATGTGTCTGTTAAGATGAAAAATTGAATCAAGTAAATTAGCATTAGAATTTTCATCTTTCTTTCAAACTTAATTAAAGCCAACAGAATTTACTTAAAATGAGGCAAGCCTTCATCGTGGTTATGTTGTTATCCTTAGGCTAAGGGTGTAAAAATGACCCGTGGGCCTGTTGTTGCTCGAAGCTCGCTTGTAGCTTGGACGAGCCAGGTTCGGCTAAGCCTAGCCAAGCCTGGGCCCGAGCCCAGCTCGGGACCCTTGGCCTAGGCCTGGGCCGTGTGTTTTGGAGCCTGGCCCAGCGACCTGCTCAAGGCCTACTCAGCGTCCGGCCCACCCGAGGCCCAATGCAATTTTTGGCAAAAAAATTTAAACAATTTAAAAAAAAAATGTTCAGGCCCAGCCTAAGCTAGAGCCCACGTTCGTTGGCCTGGTCCGAGGCCCGAATATCCCCTAGGCCTGGTCCTAATTTTCTGGCTCGTGGGGCGGCCCGACTCGACCGGCTCAAATTTTGACCAGAGCCCGTACGGCCCGACATGGGCTAGGCCAAATTTACACCCCTACCTTAGGCCCATGAAATTCATTGATTTGAAGGTGCTTTAAATAGTCAATTAAAGCTGATTATATGGGCTTGCAAAAGGAGAAATTATAACTAGGTTCAGTTAACAAGTGTCATAAGATAATTGATTAACAATATTTAAAAGGGAATTGATTGAAAAATCCTATTAGAAAGATGGGTGTATCAGTATGTCCTTCTAACGTTTTTGTGCATCAAAAAATCTTGTTCACTTTTAATTATTACCAAAAAATCCTATTATTTATTTTTTAGCAGCGTTTTCATAAAAGTGTCACTAATTGTAAGTTTTTAGCAACAATTTAAAAAATTCGTTACAGAAATATGTCACTAGTTATAATGATTCCAGTTTAGATCCGACCCCATTTATTGTTTTGAATCTGGGTTTCTTTGTCCTTAATAACTGTCCATATTCTTGTTCATCTTATTCTCTATTGAATTGGGTTGTGTGAGCATTGTAGTTGCTTTTGAAATATGTTGAGAGTTCGTTTTTTAAAGGAGTTATTGCCTAGAATTTTGGTTGTTCGCTCGAGCAAATTTTCTTGTGCTCGAGCAGTCTTCAAGAACTCCCAGTACTTTTGCAGGTCTGCAAAAATTCTAGGAGTATAGTGTTTTTTGCTCGATCGAACTTTCTTGCGCTCAAACGGTCTTGGCTCGAGTAGTCTTTCTTGCGCTCAAGCGGTTAACCTTTGTTTGTAAAACTTCTGGGAGGGTGTCGTTGTGCGCTCGAGCGGTAACTTTGTTCGCTCGAGCCATATCACTTATTGTGTATGATCACTCAAGCGGTGTTTTGGTTGCTTGAGCGGTCTGCGCGTATATCAGTCCGTAAAAGTCACTTTTTAGATCACTTTTTTTTTGTTTTTCTCTCTCTTCTCTCTCATTTTCTGCCATTTTTAGGTTTCTTTAACCTAAAAGCTTTGGTTTCATCTAGTTACATCCATTTTCTACACCCAGTCCTATATATCAAAATGTAGAGGGTGATGAGGGCATCATTTTAATCCAAGCGGATCGTAATCTAAGCAGATCATGATTTCGTCGCCGGTGGATTTTTTCCTTTTCTCATTTTCACTTCAAGAGGTAGGTATTCTAGAGCTTCTCTTCAATGCCTCGTTATAGATAGACTTGTGATACTTTTTACAACATTTAAAAACATAGTGTTATGGTTGATTTTGTTAAAAAGCATACGGGTTGGTTTGGGTTTAAATTGGTGGGTTTGTGGGTTATGTTTATAATTTATTATGGGTTGTAAAAGCATGTTTAGTATATGGGGTTGGCGGGGTTTGGTATCTCCTTCATAAATTTTGGGATGTTAAAGGAAAAGCTTAAAGTGAATTGAAATTGGGTTATGTTGTGGTTGCTTACAAATTTTGGGATTTTGGATTAATGTTATTAGCTGTTGGTAAGTGTTGTGTATGTTGGGATTTGGAATAATGAGTACTTGTTTTTAAAACAAAGTGTGATTAATTACCTCCTTTATAAAACGTGAGAGTTTGGAACGTATGAGAATATGGAAATATCTATGGGTGTACTTATTGTTTTGATTACATAGCTGGCATCTAGAGTTTTGTCATTGGCCATCGGTAGATGATGGTATTGATTGTTGGTAGATACATGCTGTGAGTACTATTGTAGGATGGGCTATGTAAGGTAGAAGGATGTATTGTTGATTGTAATTGGACATTGTAAATAAATAAATTCCATTGTTGAGTTGTAGATTATGTTATTAGAAAATGAACTGAAATGTTTGTGGATGTGTTTATGTTATGAGACGGTCATTGGATAGTTATGGTTTTGATGTTTGGTAATCCACATTTTGTTTTGGGAACATTTCAAAAATGGAGGAAAACCCGTTGTTGAACGGTGGTGCATGGAGCACGTTTTAGAAGAAGTGGGATAATGTATTTAACTGTCATTAGTCGAGATTGTGATAATTGGACTAGATGTATGTGTTACACTGTGTATTATTTTTGGTGGTTAGCGTGTTATGCTTTAAATTTTATGTTGTTTGGGAGGTCTGTTTCTCTCGGGGTGAGGCTAGCAAAGTGTGGCACATTGACAAATGTTTCCTCTTCCTGCCATTTTATGCCTGGTGAAGTGTGAAATGAGGCCTGTTTCTCTCCAGGTGAGGTCGGTAAAGCGTGGCACATTGACAAAGGTTTCATCTCCTTTTCGGTTTGCGTGCGAAAAAGTGTGATCTAAGGGGCACCCCCATCCCGGTGAGGTCAGTAAAGTGTTATAGGTTATTTGTGTTGTAGGATCTGTCATCCGTACTATAGGCCGGTGGAGATGAAATTGGTAGTGTGTTTACTTCAGTTATTTCTTTTTGAATGTATATGTGTTATTGGTTTTCA